AAGAGGAGGGGTCACAAGTGTCAGATTTTGGAATCTGATGGCAGATCTTATATGTAACAGATATATGTGGGTCTGACTCTTAGGAGGGCTCTGCTGACCTTAGACTAGTAGAAGTTTGAGGAAACAAAGCTAGAAATAATATATGGGGAATCACGTTGGCGCTGAGCGCGGGCGAGCCCTGGTCGCGGGCCTGCAGCGTCAGCTCGAAGGCGCGCAGCTGCTCGTGGTCGAAGGCGCGCTGCGCGAACACCACCCCGCTCTGCGGGCTCACGGACACGTAAGACAGCAGCGCTCTAGGCTCCAGGTCGCTGGCCACGATGGAGTAGGAGACCTGGCCGTTGGGTCCCAGATCTGGGTCCCAAGCGCGGATCTGGGTTATGGAGGCCCCGGGCTGGTTGTTTTCTGGTAGGTGGACCAAGTAGGCGGGTTGTTCGAAAATGGGAGCATTGTCGTTAACGTCAGTGATGTGCAGAGTGATGGTTGTGCTGGAGGACAGGGGTGGCTTGCCCCTGTCGGTGGCTGTGATGGTGACGTTGTACTCTGGAGTCTTCTCCCTGTCCAGGGCCCCATCTGTTACTAATTTGTAATAATTACTGGAAGAAGAATGAATCTTAAATGGACCATCTGTACTTAAACTACATGTGACCTCAGCACTGTCTCCAGAATCTCTGTCCCGTGTTTTGAAGAGAGCCACAACCATTCCAGGAGAGGAATCCTCCAAAATGGGGTCAGAGAGAGAAGTGATGATTAATTCGGGGCTGTTGTCGTTTTCATCTTGAACATCTATAATTACTTTACACTGTGTGGAGAGAGATCCTCGGTCCTTTACTTCCACGTACATTGTATACCTTTCTACTTCTTCAAAATCCAGGGGCTGATGAGTTACGATGACTCCTGTACTGGAATCCATAGAGAACACGTGTTGGGCTTTGGCAGTCACACCGAGGAAGGAGTAGGTGAACTCGGCATTGATGCCTTCATCCTGGTCGGTGGCCCTCACTGTTACGACAGAGGTGCCTGCAGGGACGTCTTCCCGAAGGCTGACCCTGTAAACATCCTGGCTAAACACCGGGGGATTATCGTTGGCATCCACCACCTGGACTCTTACCTGAGCGGAGCTGCTTAGGGGCGGGTCCCCACCGTCTACGGCTGTCAGCACCAAGTGGTGAGTGCTCTGTGTTTCTCGGTCCAAGGTCTTCTGCAGAACTAATTCTGGGTATGTGCCGCCATCCGGACTGTCTTTCACCACCAATGAGAAATACTCATTAGGACTTAACTGGTATTTGCTCAGTGAATTCATATTTATATCGGGATCTTTTGCAGACTCAAGAATTGTTCCCATTCCTGGGCTGACGGATTCACTTATTTCTAAATTTATTTCATCTTTACGGAATTGAGGAGCGTGATCATTAATGTCTTCAATGGCCACAACGATATGAAAAATATTTAAGGGATTTTCCACCACGGCCTCCAACTGTAACTCGCACCTTCTCCTCCCTCTGCATATCTGCTCGCGGTCTATGCGGTCCTTCACCAGTAAGTCCCCGCTCTCCGCGTCTACGCTGAAGTGCAGCTTCTCCGCGCTAACGCGCAGCTTGCGAGCCGACGCGTCCTGGACACTCAGCCCCAGATCCCGGGCGAGGTTCCCCACCACCGAGCCCTTGGCCAGCTCCTCGGGAATGGAGTAGCGGACGGGCTCGCACAGCGCCGGGTAGAACAAAGGCAGCAGGAAGGGAAACAGTACCTGCCCGCGGCCGGCGCGTCGCCTCTGCGCGCAGCTCCCTCCCATTGCTCGCTGCGCTTCTCGGCCCCCTCTTCACGCCTGGAGGAAGTGCACTGGTCCGCGGTGGAACGGCGTTGGTCCCAGGCCAGGCAGAGCCGCGTTTCGGGGTCGGGAACCCCTGTGCTCAGGGCCGGGTGTGCGCAGCCCAGAGTCTGTCTGGGTGAGAGGGTTTCCTTCTGTGTGTGTTGGTGGCGGCGCAGGAAACCCCAGGCTGAGGCTGAAGGATCCCGGGCGTCGAGCTTTCTCTGCACTGGCCGATAGCGGCGCCCAGAGGCTTTGTGTGGAACTGCAGCCTGGCTTTCTATCAGAAAATCTTTATTTTTGAAATGTACAAGTTGATAGCTGAAATTCTTATTCCTCAGTGATTCGGTTGTCATTATGAAACTTTTAAACCTCTTCGCTATTATTTTTATATATTATACTCTTACTCTGATCTCTAATAAAGTATTTCCTTCAAAATTAAAAAAGGTATAAAATATAGAGCAAAGGTCCGTCTATAGGTCTCCTATTTCATGGACAATTGCTATCTAATTCCTACATCCAAAGGCAATTACTATTGCTCTTTTACAGAGTAACTAGGTGGTTTAGGATGCAGCTCAGTGGTAGAGCTATTTTCTATTTGCAAGGCCCTGAGTCGGTACCCCAGCACCATAGAGAAGTTTTAATTTTCTATTAAACTGGAAGTACAGAAGATAAAAAAGAAAAACCATTTTGTCTTCAATCCTAGATTTTATTTGGTTAGCAATTGATAACCTTTCTTTCCATTGACCTAACTATAAATCATCCAGGATGTCCTGTATTGCTTTTAAAAAATATTATTATTATTATTATTATTTGGTATCAGGGATTGAACTCAGGGCCTTGTGCTTGTAAGGCAGGTGGCATAACCACTGAGCTAAATCCCAGGCCCTTGTATTGCTTTTTAAACAATTCTATCTAAAAATATTTGTTTATAGTAACTAAAATGGTGAGCATTTTAAATTTGTGTTTTTCAAAGTAATAGAATTACCTGAGATAGCTACACAATAATTTTGATTCTCATGAATAAAAACTTGCAATAGTAGTTTCAGTGATTTGAGTTAATAACTATAGGTCTGGAGTGTGTGCAATACTTCCACAGACCTATAAATAACAAAATGTCCATTGACATGAAAATGTCATGGTGTCAAGTATTCTGAGACACTGTGGGATACTCTTTGATGCTATGCTTTCAAGTTTAGTAGAGTATTAATAATTAAGGGATTTAACCAAATACATCATTCTCTTCATTGAACTAAACACAGTCATTATCATTTAGTTTGAAGAATTTTGTGTACAGCTACTTCTTTATGTTCTAGTCTTGCAGAATGGACAGTGTGCACCCTCAGTTTCAGAATTTTCAGTTTCCAATAGGTTTCCTTTCCCTACATTAAAGACCCATTGATATGCCCTTGCCACAAATCCCTTGCTTCTGTTCTTGGAACCTATACAAATTTTACATCTTCCCATTCTATATTTATTTTTAGCCTTAGTGACAGGAGTATTTAATTTGTAAAAAGATGAAGACAGTAGAACCCCAAATCTCCTCAATTTAACAATCTATTGCTTCTTTAGAATTCCTTTCGAGCAAGGGAAGTCAACATAAAAGTTATATCTTCCACACAAGAGTATGAAGTTAGAGAATCATATGTGAAGAGAATACCAAGATGTTAGTAAGTATGACTATGGTTGGAAAAACTTAAGTACATTTTTATAAATTAATTGAATTTTAATAGAAAATTTGAATCTTTATGAATTATATTCAATAGCAATGGTTAATACAAGGTATAGTTTAAAAACTATAAATGCAAAGGTTTTTTTCCTTTGGAAGAATAAAATTGAGTAACCTTAAGCTTGATTTGTGTTTCTAGTGAAGCAAATGCATTTGGTTTCCAACATTTACCTATTTTTATCAGGCCTGCCTTAAAAATAAGACCTCAGATATGCTCACCCATGTTTATAGTGGCACAGTTTGTAATAGCTAAAGCTTGGAAACAGCCTAATTGCTCATTAACTGGTGACTGGATAAAGAGATGTGGGGTGAAACGGAGTACTACTCAGCCATAAAGAATGAGAAAACAGAGACATTGATAGCCAACTGGATGCACATTGAGGATGTACTTTTTTGGGGGGGTACCGCGGATTGAACTCAGGTCCTTGCACTTGCAAGGCAGGCCACCAAACCACTGAGCTTAATCCCCAGCCCTGAAGATATACTCTTAAGTGAAATTAATAGGACACACATGTGTAAATACCAAATAGTTTATCTGGTGTGATAAACTAAAACTGTAAATAAAAATCAAAATGTATAATTGATATTGTGTAATAGGAAAAAAGGTCTAAAGTTGTAGGGGAAGTGGGAGGGGTAGGGGAAAAGGTACAAAAGGAAAAGAAAAAATAAGAGAAAAGGAAAAATGGAAACAAAGTCTTTGTAAAGAGGGGAGGGTGGAGGGGGTGAAAGGAGGCCAGGAGAAGGGGGAAAATTAGAACCAAGATATGTCGTCATGTAAAGGTACAAGACCTCAATGATGAATGTAACTATTGTATACCTAAAATGTACCAATAAAGAAAACAATAAGACCCCAGGCTGTCTAAAGACCCAGTTTCATCATGTGGCCACCTAAGGAGAACACACAAATGGACAGACACTTCTGTGTGGAAGCCTCTTTTAGGAATCGTCAATATTGTACTCAGTGATGCTATAAAACTTAAGATTCTGCAAGGCTAATCACAATGACAGGCATTCCCTAGGAGTAGGTAAATTTACCAGAAAGTTTTAAAAATCATTTTAAATAATCAAATGTCACTCTTCAATGTTTTAGCAATAGGAAAGTGTCACAGAAACAGAGAAAATGATTTTTAAAAAGAGATTTAAATTTTGTACCACCATATGCAAACCTAAAAGTAAAACCATTCCTAATGTTAAAAGGAAATAGAAGGCAAAAAATAAAACTCACTGGAACCAAGGGAGTGTCTCCTATAGGAATCTTGGAATCATCTAACAAAGACAAAGGATCCTTCTTCTCACAGCTCTCCTGGCTGATGAGCGTATCAGCGTAGTTGGGCTGTGGGAAGATCAGGTGGCTCTTTCTCGAATCTGAAGTGAGGGACACCTCATGGGAATAGGTCTGCAGGAAAGCTCGGACCCCATCCACACCCACAAAGTGGGAGGTAGGTATGCCACCCAATCCATCTCCAGAAGCCTGGAGCTTGTGAGACTTATGCCAGCGCCGAAGTCTGAATGCCAGCAACATGATGACAAAGGCCAGAAAGACACAGGAGACAGAGGCCACAGCCACCACCAGGTACAGAGTGAGTCTGGGTGTGTTGGACTCCTGAGCAGGCTCAAGGTTGCCTAAGTCAGCCAGAACTTCTGGAATGCTGTCAGCTATCACCACAGTGAGTGTGACAGTTGAGGAAAGAGGAGGCTGGCCATGGTCCTGCACAGATACCACGAGGTTCTGCTTGAGTGCATCTCTGTCTAATAGGGTCCTTGCGGTGCGCACCTCCCCCGTGTGCAGGCCCACCAAGAAAAGTCCTTGCTCACTGGCCTTGAGCAGGCGGTAGGACAACCAGGAATTCTGTCCAGAATCTCTATCCACTGCTACCACCTTGGTCACCAGGTATCCGGGTTCTGCAGAGCGGGGTGCCAGCTCCACCCCAGTGGACCCATCAGTGGGGACAATGGGGTACAGGATCTCAGGGGTGTTGTCATTCTGATCCAGCACAAACAGACTCAGCGATGCATTGCTGCTGAGCGGAGGGTTTCCACTGTCACGGGCAGTCACCCATAGGCGCAGTTCACGGAACTGCTCATAATCGAAGGATTGGAGTGCATACAGGACGCCAGTGTCTGAGTTGATGGATATGTAGGAGGACAGCGGTGCCCCTTGGATGGTGTCTTCAGCCAGAGAGTAAATGACCTGGCCATTCTCCTTGGTGTCTGGATCATGAGCTATCACTGAGAAGATGGAGGCGCCCCTGGGATTGTTCTCTGGGACATAGGTAAAGTAGGAGATTTGAGAGAAGGTAGGTGGGTTGTCGTTGATGTCTGCCACTTGCAGGATAAAGTGAGTTTCCATTGATAGAGGTGGACTTCCACCATCTTTGGCTGTTACTGTAACATTGTAAGAGGATACTTGTTCCCTGTCAAGGATTCTATGTGTCACCACTCTATAATAACTGTCAATAGACTTTTCTAATTTAAATGGTAAATTTTCTGGAATGGAACAGGTTATCTCTCCATTCTGACCAGAATCTAAATCATGCACATTTAAAAGGGCTATGAAAGTTCCCAGGGGTGAATCTTCTGTCACTGGACTAAACAGAGATGTGATAGTCACCTCTGGACGGTTGTCATTTACATCTTCTACTGTAATCAACACTTTTGCAGTTGCAAGATATGCTCCCCCATCTTCTGCTTGTATTTCTATTTCATAGAAACTTGTTTCTTCATAATCTAGACTTTCTGATATCTTTATCTCTCCAGTATTTTTGTTTAGTTGGAATTTCAACAATTGTGTGTCAGGTAATTTTCGGAACGAGTATGTCACTTCTCCATTGGCCCCTTCGTCCTTGTCGGTGGCAGTGACCGTTAGCAGCTGAGTGCCTACAGGCAAGTTCTCTGGAACATTCACGTGGTATTCAGGTGAGGTGAAGACTGGCGCATTGTCATTTGCATCGAACACAGTCACAGTGATGAGGACAGTGCCAGATCTGAGAGGGACACCCCCATCAGAGGCGGTGAGAACCAAATGGTGAACCGCCTCTTCCTCCCGATCTAGAGCACGCTCCAGCACCAGCTCAGGGTACTTGACGCCATTGGCGCGGCTCTGCACGCCTAAGGAGAAGTGCTTACTGGGGCTGAGCTGGTAGCTCTGTAGGGAGTTCACACCCACATCCGGATCAATGGCTTCCAGGAGAGGAAAACGCATTCCTGGAGCGACGTTTTCATTGATTTTTACATCCAGATTTTCTGCTTGGAATTTGGGGGCATTATCATTGATATCAGTTACTTCTATTTCTATTCTAAAAAGTTTCACCCTATCTTCAACAAAGATATTAAAACTCACCAGACACCGTGAGCTCTGGGCGCACAGCTCCTCCCGGTCTATCCGGCCCGCGGTGACCAAGCTGCCGCTGCGCGGATTCAGAGAGAAAAGCTGCGTCCTACCTTTGGAGACGATGCGGACTCCGCGCTCCGCCAGCTCCCGGGGCTCCAGCCCCAGGTCCTTGGAGATGTTACCCACGAACGAGCCTTTGTCCAGTTCCTCAGGAACCGAGTAGCGGATCTCCTGGGCTCGGGATTCCCAGGGTATCCGAAGGAAAAGGCAGAGCAGGACCAGCTTGGTGTGGTCGGAGCGATTCCTTTGAGCAGCCATTGTTGTCTGGTCGCGGAAATTTCCCACGTTCTCCCTGGACACGTACGTTTCAACTGGTTCCTTTTTCTTTCTGTGACTGCTGGGACTCTCTGTAGCTTGTACACCTTATATTCCGGAGGGAGTTTCTTTGCAACCCAAGAGCCGGTGTGTATGAATTGTGGGGCTTTCTACATTTGGAGCCCGGAGAATCTGGCCTGAGCTGTGTGGGTTTGTTTCTCTCCTAGTAGGTGAACAGCGGCGCTCAGAGTCCTAAAATGTTACTGCACCCACTCTAATATATCCTGGCTT